ATAAAATTAATTAGCAACTTCTGAACACTTACTACTCAGCTTAGAGGGTGAGATGGCCTGGAAGCATTCCAAGGGTCAAGGAAGACAGACTGAGGCAGGATTGAGAGTCGGACACAGATCATCCCTTCTCTCCTGTCCCTTGGCTCAGCCTTGAATGTGGTTGCTGCGCAGGCCACAGCAGTACACATTTCTGTCCTTGGATAGGGACCAAAGAAGAGCCTGGAAGAAAGAGAGCCCCTTCTCTTGGATCAAAAAGAAACTTCCATGGCAGGAGGCCCCAGAGCCCGACCACAGCGTGGTACCGTAGTGCCCTGTTTGGAACAGGCCTCGCTTCCTGGGGTGGACCCCTGTGCCACGTACCTTTGCCCGCTCTTTTCCAGAGGTGGAGTCTCCTGCTCACCCTTGAACCTGGATGGACTCACTTTGACCAGTAAGTAGGGTATGGTGTGTGGCTTCCCAGCCCAGGCCTCTGCCTTGCGAGGCCTCCGGCTCCTGTCCTTGTCCTCGTGGGACTTCTGAGTCGGCCAGTGATGGACTGTCTGCTCCATCCTCCTGAAGGATGAGAAGCTGTGGAGTAGAGCCGCGTCACCCCGGCTGAGGTCCCTGGACCTCCCGGCTGATGGCCAGCACCGAGCACCATGTGTGTGAGTCTGGGTTGGTACCTCCAGGATCCCAGCCACCCGCTGGCTGCAGCCACCTGGGTGAGCGCAGCCTGTGATCCACCCACAAACATGAGCAAACGAACAACTGCTGCTCTAAGCCATTAAGTCTTGGGGTGTCGGTCACGCAGCCGTCCACAACTGATAGAGTTACCAAAGCCCTTGCCTGGCACTGTAGACCAGCACCACATCCTGGAAGTCAGGATCATCCCACCGGGGCTCTGTCCATTCCGCCCCCTGAGAAGCTCCAGAAACAGCTCTCTTCCCAGGATCTGTGTCTGCTCGTCCCCACCAGTTTCCAGGCTGCCACGGCGGTGCCCACGGCTCTGTATTAGTTTGATATAATGTCGAAGCGCCCAACAGCTTCTGGGGCTCAGGTGGAACAGATGAAATGTGACTAAGTTCTGGGGGATGATTGATAATGAGTAGGGACTGGAAAATCAATTGTGTTAATTCCTGGTCTGTCACCGGCACTGAGAATTAATGAGAAAATCTGTCTAACTTAATGGTATTTACACATTATACAGAGAGTGATAAAATTGTCTGCAGGCGCCGCCTGGCATGCCAATGACACACGGCCCGCGTGGCCCCAGGGGCAGGCAGGGCGGGACAGCCCAGGACCCAGGCAGGCCATTTCCACACTAACTTCTGAGTGGGACCCAGGCCCCTGCATGGATGTCGGGGTCATGGCTGGTCCCTGCCGGGCGTGGGCAGCATCTTAGGGACTGGCTGAAGGGCACGTCTGGGGCATCCTTTGGGGATAACCACTCCAGAAGCCGTGAGGGCAGTTGAGCAATAGCCAAAGAGGGCTCAGTCTCATGTATTGGCAGAGTGCCTGTTTGGGGACACAGATTATCTTTGTGACCCCAGGCCCCTTCCTCAGGAGGTCAGCATCAGCCATGCCCAACCTGCGCAGCAGACCAGTTGCTGCTGGAAGCTGCCTCTAGGAGCATCCTGGAAACTGCTGGAGGGGCCGGCTGCCAAGTCTCTTGCTTCCTTGAAATTCTGAAGTCTGGGCTTGTGGTGACTAGGGCTACCCAGGGAGGTGGCGTGGCGGCCAGCCTCCAAGATGGCCCCGGTAATCTCCAGTTCCGGATATTCCCATCTGCGGGTGGTCGTCTCCCATCCTGAGGGAGCTGACCTGAGTGACCCGTGGGCCACCATGGAGAACCGCGGCCCCCGAGGCCAGTTTATAAAGAACGTGGCAGCTCAGCATGTTCCCTCTTGTAGCCCTCGCTCTAGGAAGGCCCCTCACACGTGGCAAGGCCCCAGGGAGCCCTGAGCCTCCTGCAGCAGCCAGCACCATGGGGTGGGCCCACTGGGAGCAGATCCTGCCGCTGGGCCCAGCCCTCAGGAGGCCACAGCCCCAGCGCACACCCTGAGCTGAGCGTCCCCAGCTCCTGACCCAGAGAGGCTGGCAGGGACGGAGATGCTGACGGCTGTTTGAAGCTGCTCAGTTTGGGGGTGATTAACCAACACAGGTGGGGAGGAGGTGGGCAGGCGAGACCAGGTGACCTCACCCTGCAGTGTGGAGGGCCCTGGAGGACTTCCGGGGTCACCCTGCACTTCCACCTGACCTCTATTCTTGAGCCCCACTCTGTGTCGCCCCATCTGGAACACCCGACTTCCGCCCCTGTGCCCCCACTACGCCGCTTTCTCTGCCCGAATGCCCTTCCTGCTCCTCTTTCCTAAGACAAACTCCTACGCAGCCTTCCAGACCCAGCTCAGATATGCCCTCCTCTGCGGAGCCCTTCCCAGTCGGTCTTGGGAAGATGCGGTCACCTTTGGCACCCCTTACTCCCGAGGGACTCCCCAGAGGGGGACCTATCCAGGGTTCAGAACCCGAATGGTGGTCAGCTCTACCCTTCTTCCCTGTCCGCTGCGGCCCGGGGCCGTCTTAGTGAAGGAGTGACCGTGTGGGCAGCCTGGGGAGGAGAGGACGCCCTGCCTTGGGGCGGGGGCGGGGCTTGCCTGGTGGCCGGGCCTTCAGGTTCAGAGCTGCTCTCTCACCAGGTGCTCTTCTCTCCTGCTGTCCTCCAACCTCTGTGGGTCTGGGGACAGGGTATCGCTCAGGAGGCTCTGTGTGTCCCTGTGCCCGGGCCCTGCTATCCGCCTGAACCCTGCCCTGCCTGGAGCACTGCTTTCTGGGGTTCAGGGAGCCCTCCAGGGCCCCTGACCTTCGTTCCAGGCCTGGAGGGCAGATGCGCAGCCATCGGACAAATCTGATTTCTGAAACAGGTTTAAAGGTCTTTTCCCAGAGACCCGGAGCTCATTTCTCCTTTCTGTGTCTCCAAAGTGCCAAGGCAGCAATTCAGACCTCAAAAGCCCCGAGCAGGGCCCGCCCAGGTCTTCATGGCACAGAATGAATTTGTTCTGTGCGAATTCCTGGCCTGAAGGATAGATGTCTTAATGTCCTGATGTCGCCCGGCTTCCCAGCCCAGCCGGTGCTAGGGGCTGGAGAGCTCCTGGCTTGTTTGCCCAGAGGACGGCTGAGGGCAGTTGGGGGTGCCTGAGGTCAGGGAGGTCACCTGCAGACGCTGGTCCTAGGTGCTCCTACTTATTGAGTGCTTTGCTGCAGCCCAAAGATACCCCGTCCTTTGTCTGAGGTCCCACAGCCGGAAAGGGCGGAGCTCGGATTTGTCCCCGGTCTCTCTGACTTCAAGTCTCTGGTCTTGACCAGTTTGTCACCCTGCCCCACTCCACCTGGTGAGTCCCTGGGCTTGGCCACTTCAGGGGTAATGAGTCCCCCAGACCCCAGTTCTTGTGGGGGGACTTCCAGGATTTGGGCAGGACAGAGGCGGAAACAAAAAGAAATGGCATTCTGGGGCTGAGGTTCCTGGGTCCCTCACCTCACGGGCCCTTCTCCTGTAGAGGAGGGGGAGGGACGGTTTGTGCCTGTGGGGGTGGCCTTTGGCTCTTGAGACTCTGCAGTGCGTGTGGAACCTGTGAACCGAGGGAGGAGAATAAAAGATTAAAGAGGGAAAGGATTAACATCTACAGGGCTCCGGCTCCGCAGAGCCTCTCTGAGCAGCAGCTCTGCCATCTCTATGAGACACAGCCGCCAGCTCCATGGCCACAGGGCCCCATACCATCAGCCTGGAGCAGCGTAGTGGGGGCACAGGGGCGGAAGTCGGGTGTTCCAGCTGGGGCGACACAGAGTGGGGCTCAAGAATAGAGGTCAGGTGGAAGTGCAGGGTGACCCCGGAAGTCCTCCAGGGCCTTCCACACTGCAGGGTGAGGTCACCTGGTCTCGCCTGCCCACCTCCTCCCCACCTGTGTTGGTTAATCACCCCCAAACTGAGCAGCTTCAAACAGCCGTCAGCATCTCCGTCCCTGCCGGCCTCTCTGGGTCAGGAGCTGGGGACGCTCAGCCCAGGGTGTGCGCTGGGGCTGTGGCCTCCTGAGGGCTGGGCCCAGCGGCAGGATGTGCTCCCAGTGGGCCCACCTCATGGTGCTGGCTGCTGCAGGAGGCTCAGGGCTCCCTCCCCGGGGTCTTGCCACATGTGGGGGGCCTCCCTAGAGCGAGGGGTACAAGACAGAAGAGGCTGAGCTGGCCTCAGAAGCCAGCTCCGTCCTACAGGGTGCTCACAGACCCCCCAGACTCCTGGCAACCATGGCCAATGGCTGGGCCACCAGGGGTCCCTAGGGAGGCTGATCCTTGCTGACCCGCCCCAGCCTCTGCTACCCCCACCCCCGTCCCTTGCTGCGGTTGTCATCGGCACATCTGTCATCTCCAGAGAAGAAGCTGCGAGTGTGCCTGAGCGCCGGGGAAGCTGGGAACCAGGAGTGCACCCCTCATGCAGAGCTGGCCACAGGTCGGCATGGTCCCAGACACGGCAAGATCCTGAACTCCTCCCAGCCTCTCTTTGGGGGAAGGTGCTTCCTGTTTCACAGATGAGGAAACTGGTGCCCAGAGAAGGTAAGTAGCTTGCTGAAGCCACACAGCTCTGATGTGGCCGAGCTAGGAGTTGAATCCCAATCATTCTCCCCCAGAGCCCAGGCTGCCAATCTTACGTTATCACGTGGGTCAGGTGACGCTGATGTCCCTTTCCACAAGGAAGCCACAATCATCATGTAGAGACTGGGGTCCAGAGTACAGCAAGAAAGACAGAGGTTAGTCTCTTGGAGGTCCCTCTGGGTCGCAGGCTGTGGAGCCGCAGTTCAGCTTTGCCCTAGTGTTCAGAGAAGGGTTCTTCCTGGGCTGTGATGTAGCCAAAGGCCAAGGGCTGTGGTCTTCTTTGCTTTTTTTTTTTTTTTTTAATATTTATTTTTTAGCTTTCGGTGGACACACATCTTTGTTTTATTTTATTTTTATGGTGCTGAGGATCGAACCCAGCGCCCGTGCATGCCAGGCGAGCGCGTTACCGCTTGAGCCACATCCCCAGCCCGGTCTTCTTTGTTTTAATTTTAAAAATTATCAAAGATGTTAATGTGTACATAACAAAGTGTCATTTTAGCCCCTGGTAAGAGTACATTTAGGGGCCCTCGGCACCGTCCCTCTGTTGTGCATCCCTCGTCACCATCACGTCCAGGCCTCCTTCTTGTGGGACTTCTGGAAGCGTGTGCCAGCCTGGACCCCACCTCCCCGTCTCCCTGAAGGACAGCTGGAAGCAGGAGGGGTGCGTGGGGAGGAGGAGGCGGTGGCCGGCTTCCTTCCCCCTCCAGGAGGGGAGGTGGTAAGTGATCCGCCTTAGAGGGTCCTGCTCTGCTTCAAAGGCCCGCGGCTCTGCAGCTGGAGCGGCAGCAGGGGGGGCTTATCAACACTCCGCACTCCTAACCCTTCCATTAGCTGCACATCGGTGACGGCTCAAGTCCTAGGAAGTAGATTTAGGCTGGAAGCGGAGGTCTCCATCTCTGAAAATTAGGGAAATGGAGAAGCGCTCTTATAGGATTTCCCAGCAGCTACCGGGGCGCTTGGCTCTCCTCTCCATGCCGAGCTGACACCGGTGCTGGGCCAAGAGTGATGTGCTCGGATGGAAACTGCAGCAGGAGCTGGAGAGGAAGCCTCCTGGGACTGGGACGCCACCAGAGGCCCTCCCCTTCCCAGGCACCTCCAAGCCAGGAGTCTGCTTTTATGACAGCAAACAGGTTCCTGGGAGAGAGAGAAACAGAAACAGGAGCAGCTACTAACACCAGCACTGAGTGCCCGCCACGGAGGCACGGCGCTGTGGTCAGCCCTCGTGATGAGCATTTCTTAGGCGCCACACACTGCATTGATGATTGATTTTCCCCTGTTCTTCTCACTACCCTCCCATTCTACAGACAAGAAAACTGAGATCAAAGAAACTTGATCACAGCATCTGCTGGGACCCGACCGAGTCACCTCCCCTTCTCAGTTTCCTCATCTCTGTAGGAGAGAATCAAGTTCACTCTGAGCTCAAGACGCGGCACTCCGTCACCCACCTGGTTGGCGTCCGCATCTGGATGTCCTTCATGCTCTCTCCTAGGTAGACTTGGCCAACATGGCTTATTCCCATTTTAAAGATGGGGAAACTCGCTCCTCCGGGTCCTGTGCTGCAGTTACAAGGCTGTCATGGGCCGGGCTGGCTGGCTGTGGATTGTGGCTTGCACTGGGGAGCCCAAGGGGAGCCCAGAGGCTGTGTCAGGACAGGAGGTCAGGGTCAGGTGGGACCCCGCTGCTCCTCCAGATTAGGGGTCCACTGGGGTGGTTCCCTCTGCGTTGCTGCCTGCCTCAGTGCTCCCACCTGGCCTTCTCATCCTCCTGAGACCGTCCCCCAGGGATGCCCCAAATGCTCCCCAGACTAACTACAGGATCAGCAGAGAAGACCCACAGAACCAGGAGTGGCAGCCTGGGCTTTAGGACTCAGTGGTTCCCCAGCCAGACAGGCTCCCAGCAAATCAAAGCCTTTTCAATTTCCTTTCCACTCCCCTTGCCTTGTCCCCTGGGAGCGAGCAAGCCAGGAGCAGGGAGCAGGCGGGAGGCAGCAGGAAGTGAGCCCCTGTAGTGCATCGTGGGCCCCTCGCCAGCAGCATCCCAGGGGACTTTCACTCAGGAATCATATGCACGAGGATTTATTTCCTCCTGGTCCGGCTTCTAGCTGAAGTGATGGCCTGTCTCCACTGGGCTCTGGCAGGAGGAGAACTGAGCTCAAAGGTTCCAGAGAAACAAAGGAAGCTTTAGGTTCATCTAACACTGAACGCCGCCCGCCTGCCAGCCACCTCACCTGGCCCTCCTAGCAGCCTTCTGCACTCGGGACTCCTATTCCCATTCTCCAGAGGAGAAGGACTTCCTCAAGAGCACCTGGAAGTTATGACTCCACACCACGAGACTCGCTGCCTTCACACACTAATCATGCTGGTCCTCGTGTGCTTATGATCTCTTGGAGCAGGTCCTGCCACTGTCCCCATTCTCCATCGAGAAAGCTGAGGCCCAGGGCGTTAGGTAACTGCCCCAGATAACAGAGGTGGTAAGTGATGAGCTGGATCCAAACCCAGCCCGGCCGTCTCGGAGAATAGATGTTAGATCTAGAATCAGGTCTCGTTCTTTGAAGGTGAGCCCCGATCCTATAGACTGCAGAGGTTTTTGTTTGTGTGTTTGTTTTTGTACCAGGGATGGAACCCAGGGGCGCTTAACCACTGAGCCACATCCTCAGCCCTTTTTATTTTTTAATTTTGAGACATTTTAATTTTGAGACATTGTTGGCGTCTGGGCACTACTCCAAGGCCCCCACTGAGAGGCAGAGTAGGAGCTGAAACATCCCCAGGGCTCTGCTTGTCACCCTTCGTGCCCTGGTACAAGGAAGTTTTGACCCAGAGGGACATTTCCCTAATTCATCTGCCAGGAGGAGTCCCCCATTTCTAACATACACAAGATCCTGCTTGGCCAGTCGTAGCCCAGGTCCCTGAGGTCAGCCCCACGGCAGCACCACGCGCCTGGCGACTGACTCCATCAGATTCGCCTGAGAAACCAGTGAGTATATTCAGAACCCTGCCACTGGACAAGTCCCTGCCCACCTGCAGCTTGCGTTCCACAGGGATGGGAGTGGCTTTGCCTGGTCACAAGCCCACCACTGCTGCTGCAGGAATGAGTGCAGGCTCTGATTGGCTTATCCCAGCCAGGTGCCCACAGGCCCACCTGGATTGACAGCTTCACCAGGACCCATCAGAATGAGAGGAGGGCTGGGCTGCAGAAATAACCGACAGGTGAGATCCTAGGAAATCCTCAGTCCTCCCTTCCTTTGGCCAAGGACATCCCCACCTGCCTCAGGAGACCCCCTTTTTCCAGAATTCTTCCAGGAGAGGATTCAGGGAGTCCTCAGAGGGCTCAGCCATTGGTTCATCACAGGAAGAAACTCCCCACTTTCCTACAAGAGAGGGGTCCGGGTCAGGACCAGTTACCCAACGTCAATACCAGCATGAGTTCCATTTGGGAAGAAGAAAAAGAGTGGGGCCGGGGGTGGGCCAGGGGAGAGCATGCCCAAGAGCAGGGACTGAGGGTCCCGGGCCATTGCTTGCTGGAGTGGAACGCCCTGTTCTGTCTCACCTCCAGGCAGGCGTCAGAGTCTTATTCTGCTGGGGAAGAAACTGAGGTTCGGAGGCGTGAGGTGCCGCTCGCTTGGTGTGCTGACTCCAGAGCCCCTGCACAGAGCCCACAGTGCATGAGTCACAGGGCTCGTTCCACTCGCACAGCGCCCACCCCATGCCACCTCTCACTCCCAAGAGGAGCCTCACTTGGACCCGATTTCCATCCCGATCCCTGGCCTGCCACCCCTGGCACCCGGCAGGTCCTCCCACAGCCTCACCTCCAGTGTCTCTGTGCTCTCATTCACGCCAGGAGGCCTCTCCCCAGTTCCTGAGCACTGTCACGTGTTCTTAACCATCAAAGGAGGAGGAGCATCCAGTCCCCAGGCTGCTTCATTGTCCTGGGTCACCCACCCCCTGATCATCCTGCACAGGTCAAGGCCAAACGGAGCAGCAGGGCCCATCTGCCACTAGAGGGCGCTCCCAGCATGGCCATGTGCCTTTCTGGGGTGATGAGGGGTGGGATGGGGCAGAAGGACTGGCCCTGGGGATGCATTTTGCCCAGAGGCTTCCAGAGACAGAGACGTCCTGCCCTGTTGACCCCATCTGGAGACACAGGAGGCTCTGGTTAGTGAGATCAGAGTCTTCAGTATTAAAATGCAGATCCTAGGAGATGTGAGGTGCCTAGAAGGGGAGCCTGGGCGTCTTGGGGTGTGTGGGGGGCCCAGGCTCTACCTTCCCTCCTGTGTCCTGCCTCCTGCTCAAGCCCAGCCCACGGGAAGCCAGAAGAGCACTGTGTGGCTCAGGGCAGGTCACCAGCTGCTTTCCTGTTCCTCAAGCACTGATGCACTGACTTGTCACACAGCAGATTTACTGAGCAGCTCCTAGGTACCCAATGCTGGGCTAGCTCTTGGGAACACCATAACCCCCTCTTGTCTCGTGAGGCACAGAGAGAGGCATACTGACCAATTGTAAAGCCATGTGCTAAGTTCACAAGGGGCATAAGCGTGGGAGACTCTAGGTGCAAAAGAGGAGGAGCCAATCCTCCCTGGGGGCCAGGAAATCTGAGGCTGGGGGGTCTGGGACTGGTGCTCACATGCCAGTGGACTCTGGCTGTTCAGGTAAACCAAGAGTCTTGAGGGCAAAGGGGATGTATGGAGGGACAGTGGCCTCCCGCCTGCCCATCCTCCATCCCCCCTGGTGGACCTGGCAGCTAACCCCAGGCCTCTTATACCAGCCAAGTGTGGGGAGGCCACCCAGGCCATGGGGAGAGCCTTGGCGGCCTGTGGACAGCCAGGCTAGAGGCCTGCCGGGCAGCTCTGCTAATTACAGTGATGAATGGGTTTAATTTACTTGGAGAGAGTAATGTGCGTCACTCTGTTGTCACAGCTCAGCTCCAAGGCCTCCTCCCCACCCAGGTGCCACCCAGGCTCTTGCAGTCTCCGGTGGTGGCCCAGCCCATCTCCATGTCGGCGTGGGGCCTGTCTGTCGCAGTGCTGGTGGTGAAGGGAGCAGCTTTCCTGTCCTGCTGGACAGCCATGGGGCCACGCTGGCCAGAAGGCGGAGGGAGGCCCCCGTACAGGCACAGGGAGCCCTGCCTCCCCACCGGCCTCTGCCTTGTCAAAGGCGACAGTGGCCCCAGCTGAAGTCATGTCATGTGGTTCCTTGCTTCCCGGCCACCTCGGGCTCTGGAACGGGACAGGGACCTTCCCGGGCGCTCTTTGTTGGATGCAGGCCTATTGTCCATCTTCTGCGCCTCACCCACAGGTGACTGTGGATCTGGTGCTTTTCTCCCCCAGACCTGGTGTGACTTCCTTCTCAGCTGTCCTCCCAGGTGACGTCTGTGGTGACAGGGGCCTGGCTCAGTCCATCCGTCTGCTGGAGGACCATGTCAAGGCTGGACTGCGCCTGCCCTGGTGCCTTGGGGGGCAGAACTTCCCCAGGATTGATGGAGCCTCCTGGAGTGTGACTGGACCCTCCCTCTGCGCCCAGGCCGCTCTCCAGCAGGGCGGGTGGGTGGGGCGCTGGGAGAGGGTCAGCTTTGCGCAAGCCTCAGACCACCTCCAGGTCCAACCTGGGAGCACCTCCAGGTCCCCATCCCTCTCCTGGCAGGGGTCCCCTGTTACCCGTGCCTTGGAGAAGCGGGGCGGGGGGGGGGGCTTGTTCTAACCCCCCACTGTCCTGCTGGCCCAGCAGCCGTCCCCCTGGCGGGTGGTCCCCGGGAGCCCATCCCTCAACCAAGCCAGCATAAGCCCAGCTGCCAGGGAGCAGGATCTGTGGGGACAGGCTGCTCTCCTGTAGGGTGCAGACTCCCCTGGTCAGTCCTGCAGCCCAGGTGGACAGACAAAGACACACAGCAAGAGGAAGTGAGCCAGGCGCAGCGGGAGCACATTTTAGAAAGGAAGTGAGAGCACAGGATGTCACCCCAGGAGCCGTGGCCTCGCCTTGTCACTAGCTGGCTGGCTGAAGTGGTCACATCTTGCTTGGCTTCAGATTCTCCACCTGCAGTGGGGGGAGAAGGCTAAATGGGCCCCAAAGTAAGGTCTCTTCCGGTTCCGAGACCCGGCATCTTTAATTCCTGCCCTGAGGCGCAGCTGAGCGCAGAGCGGGTTGGACTCCTGACCCCTCGTGGGATGCCCAGCACTCGCCGGAGGCGCCTGGGCCTAGCCAGATCCTAATGACCAGCTCCCCCGGACGGTGGTGGGAACCGCGGGTCTCCGCAGGCGAGAGGCCAGATTGTAATTGACTCCCGCGGCGGGGAGCGGCCTCATCAGCATGCAGCGCAGTGCCGGGCGCTTAAGAAAAACTTATTAATCTCCCCTCCACAAAGACTGAGGGTTCGACAGTAATCACAGTATCAAGTCGTAATAATAGTAAAAAAATCCCTCCGTTGGAAAGAGCGGTTGGGACCCCAGAGAGTTCAACAGGGAAAGATTGTATTAAGATAAAGGAGATTATAACCGAGCAGACATTAAAGGTTGTCATTGTCTGGTAAATCACATCAGGGAGGCCCGGGACTGCTGTATCCCAGCCAGGAGGGGGGACCCTGGCCGACCTGCAGCCCCGTCGACCCCACACTCCTGGACCCCGGGGCTCTCCTGGACCCCAGGACTGGTAAACAGGTGGCTCTGGGACAAACTCAGGAATCAGATGTCCCTGAAACTCAGAGTCCCCCGATGCGGGGCCGGGAGGGTCCAGTGTACAGACTCCGCAGGACAGAGACCTCCGGTGGTGGCTGGGTTCTTCCGCCCAGGCTGACAGCCGGCCTCAGAGCATTTGCCCAGCAGAGGAGGGACCTGGGGGCAGGCCGGCCTTTGTCTCCTGTGCTGTTGGTATCCTCCAAGTAAGGATGGGGTTCAGGGCTGGAACCCTGGGCGCTGCCCTGGCCTGCCTCCCAGACACAGGTGATTGGAGAGGGTGTCCCCACTGGCCCAGGCGAGTCCCAGTCCAGGTGGAAAAGCATGGAGGATCCTGGTGGGGAGTCATCAGTAGGAGGTGCCCATGCTCAGGTGCCAACCACTCCTCTGGGGGCTTCTCCAAGCTGAGATGGCGGGGGAGTGGGGGGAGATGGTGGGACGTGGGGGGTGGGAGGAGGGTTTGCAGGGCAGAGCCTGGGGCTGAAGCTCCTCCTTGACATCTTCACTTGAGCCACAGGAGAGGACGCTCCGGCTCCAAAGATGCAATGAGGTCTCACTGGACTCAGGACGAGAAGTTACCAGGTGCTAATGACTGGGAGGCCACGTGGAAGAGTGGAGTTGATAATGTGTCCCCGTCATTCCCAAGGAGCAGTACAGCGTGGAGGTCAAAGGCAGACTCCTCTGCTCTGCTGTACATCCTTGGGCAAGTTACCTAGCCTCTCTGTGCACCAACTTTCTTATCTATAGAATGGTGGTAATAGCAATTGTAATGATGATTAAGCGTATTATTATTATAGGTGGAGAGCTATAGACACTAAAGGTCCACTCTGATCTCCTATTTGCCCTTGCCTAGGTGGCCACATCCTGTCAGGTGACTACCTCCTTCCTGTGGCCTACTTTTGGCAGGCCCCTCCTCATATAGTGGCCAGGGCTTGGGCCTGGACGGGGATACCTGGGTTCGAATCCTGGTTTCCTTTCTCACACTCAGCTACCTCACCTGCAAGATGACAGAGTCACTCTCCAAGGTGAGGCCGTGGGGAAAGCCCAGAGCTGAGGTCAGCGCGCCCTGCTGGCTCTGGGAGCACGTGTGGTTATCAGTAGCGTCAGTGCCTCTTTGTCTCCTCCGCCTGGACACTCTGGAGTGGAGCACTTGCCCCTTAGCTGTGCCTGCTCCACTCCTTAATGGCCTTCGACGGAGGGACCTGTGGAAGCTTTCCCAGCCGAGTGACCATGTCCTCTGGGTCATCTTTGCCTGTGCTTTATTAGCTTCTTACAAGAAGTCGGAGGACACAGGGAGGCCAGGGTTCCCATGTGTCCTGTCCTGCCCCACTGGGGCCTCTCGGGGGAGGTGGCTGGGGACCCTGCAGGTAAGAGCAGGTGAGCTGTCCCCACCTATGCCGCCGCCTGGGCTCCTCCTCAGATCCTTTGGGGTGGGAGGGGCTGGGGGCCAGGAAGGACAGCACCTACATCAGGGACCTGGGTTCCGTGTCACTGATGCAGTGAGCTGGGTTTGGCAGCAGGGAGCAGAACCAGAACCAGAACAGGACTCTGGGGTCCGGCTAGGAGCCGGGGAAGGAAAGGGGTTGGTAACTGGGTGGCTGTGCGCAGAGGCGGGTGGACACTAGTGTCTCCTCGACTTCTCTGGAAACCTGCAGCAGTTTTAATAAAATAAATTTCATTTCATTAAAAAATAAAACTTGTCAATTATTTTTAAAAAGCAAAGTTTCCCCCGATGCCTGGGAGAGCAAGGTTCCCCTCCGGGATGGTCTTCCAGGGGCGGGTGGGCCTCTCTTGCCCCCCCACCCCCCCACCCCCGGGGAGCAGGGGGGAGTGCGGGAAGGCGGGTGGGGAGGACAGAGTGGGGCTGGTGTCCAGGGAGGGGGCGCAGGCTTTGCTGTCTTGTCCCTGGGCTGAGGGAGGGGCACTCCACAAAGAGGGGTGCCCTCTGAAAGGTGTGGCCCCTCCCTTCTCGTCTGAGAGACCTGGGCAGCTCAGCTGGGCTCTCTCGGCAGGAGTGTTCCATGGCTAAAGGGTGCAGGGTATGGGGGGAGGAACAGGGCACAGGGCCTCCTCCAGGAGAGGCCCAGAGCGGGCTCCAGCCCTGGGGACCACCGACAGCAGAGGGTTTGAAAATTCTGCCTGGAGCCTAAGGGGAGTCCTCTCCCAGCAGCTCTGGGAGGAGCCGCTGGGTCCGAGTCCCACCACCCAGGTCGGAGCAGGGGCCTGGGAATCCCATCTCCTGCCACTCAGCCGGGGCTCCAGTCCCTCCCGTCCTGCTT